ATTTCCGGTCAGTCAAGGTGTGACTTGGGAGGAAACAGCGGAAGTTTGGCAAGAGACCACGCTTCAAGGAAAAATAGTAAATCAAGAACAAGCACTGAGAAAAATTTAGAATGAGAAAAAAAAAAAAACAAACAAACAAACACAAAGTATTAATATCAGCTTCTTTCTTTAGCCTTAGACTATTAAAAGAGAAGCAAAGTGCTCGGTTTAATTCAAGTAAAGCAGGGGTGTATTGTGATGGATATTTCTGGAATGTTCTCGAAATGCTTTGCCGGCGGGATTGAGGTCGTCAGGGTCAGGCATTGTCTAAGAAACTTTACGCCACCAAAAAAGGAAAATAAAAAAATCATCTTAAGATTATATTTCCTCCTTCCTCTCTCTCTCTCTCTATTATTCAAGTATGAACTTATGTGCATATGGTCTGTGGCCTTTTAGATAGCGTGATATATTTTAGCTGCAGTTTGGTTTCAGATGGATTCTAAACCGATAAGGTAATCGTGCGGATAAAACTATTTGATCATTCAAATCAATATCTTTAATTTTGATGCCACAATTTGTATGTATTTTCTAAATCACTTTTTATAAGAAATACACGGGACTGGTACCCTTCACGGAAGTCTTTCTGCATGCTTGATTACCGGTACTGTATAAGTTAGACAAGGTCAGAAATACCTATTTCATCTCAAGCATTTATCAATTCATTCTTTCTTTTTTTCATTAGTTTTACCGAACACAAACTTATAAATCCTGCACGAATTAAAATGACTTCACAGCCATCTTAAATTTGCCAAAAACGTGTTTTCTTTCAAAATTAACATTGTTCCTCTTTTTCAGTCACAACTCTACGGGAATAAAATGAGATATTTTAACTTCCCGTAATGTTGAAACCGAAGAACGTCATACTAAATTTCATTATCCAATGACCTTTTTAAGCCAGGTGATGTGATTCGTTAGAAAGCTTTATCAGTGAACAAGCTCCAATCAGGTTGTATCAAAGGGTGTGACCTAAATTGACTTTATTAAGTATTCATAGTGTGGCAGTTTTATCAGTTGTGTCTTTCGTAGTTCAACTTCTTTGTTTCCTTTAG